CCCGAAGCTCTGGGGCCGAGGCTTGCGCACAGCGAGGGAACATCTGCCTTTTGCCGGGAGGCAAAGCTCAGCGGGGCGGATCCCGGGGCTGCAGTAACTTTACCTGGCGTGCGGGGTCCAGCCGCGCTGCCGGGGGGCCGTGCAGCGGGCGGGTTACAGCCACGGCCGTGGGGCACCACGTCTGCAGGGACAGAAACGCATTAAGCAAACGTGAGGCTGTGGAGGAGGACGGGGGTCACTTTCTGGCCAGCTTCAGTTAGTGCTGGGCTGCGGCTGGTTGATACAGTCATTAAGTGTGAAAAAAGCAAAACAGAAATGGATTATGCACAGCTCTGGAAACTGGAAGCCCTTATTAAATACCTTCTTTCCACTTGTCATCCACCTCATACATTTCCTTGGTGAACACAGAATCTGCTACAGTCTTGTTTCCCATACTAACTGTTTTTCTCTGGCCATATATACGTCTTTAAGTCTCACATTTATCTCTTTGTCCTTGTGCTGGGTTTTCTTGCTCTAGCCCTGATGACTTATCCATGCATCTTTTTCTAGTTTATTCTGCCTAACTTTGAGAACAGGCAAAATAAATCTGTCTTATAAAATTGCACTTAAAAAAAAATGGGTTTAGGGCCATTTTTATACTGCAGTGAATATAAGACAGGTGCGGGGAAACCCTTTTGCGCCTGCAGAACACCAGATGAGGAGCTACCACTGACACATACCTTAGGTGAGGCCTTGAGCAACACCTTACTTCTACCGAAGCAAATACCTAGAAGCGACAGTGCCTTTTTCTTAGGCACTGTGTATAATTAAACCTAACTCTTCTTCCATTACTGAAAGCAACATGAAGAGATTACTTATTTTCTCTCATGTAAGGTGTGAACAATAATATTTAGTTGTCTGCAAAGAACTCGCAGAATGACAAAGGCTGTATAAATGTTACGTACTGTTCTGCAAGACATTAAGTAGATGGAAAGCAGTGTTGCGGTATACTGCTGAAACTGTCACGGAAAGAGGCACTGAGTCCTCAGCCAGGCCTGAGCTTGGCCCATGGAGCACATGTTACAATAGGAAGGTGAGGTGTCAGGGAGAAAGAAGCAGTACTGGGCAGTTCAGCAGAGGCATAAAAAGCGAAGGATGTGTGCTGAGCGATGGTGTGGCACGGGCATTGGGATAACGAAGAACCACAATGCCTCAATGCAATATGTATCGCTCAGCTGGAGTGAGGCTATGGAATACACAGCTGGAAACATACAGGGCATCACAAAAGCATTGGGGTAATACAGAAGCCTCCCTCATTGCAGAGTTCCATTTTAATAAAATAAATTGGCTGTGTAAAATTCTGAGGCCCAAGTCTGCTGTTTTCTGTCAGCAAACCACCTCTTTAACAGAAATCACAGGTATTATAGGATTCAGATTTTCAAAATAAAAACAAGAAGGTATGATCTTAGAGGAGAAAAAATTAAGCACGTTAGAAGGGCCACACTGTAGCTAACTAATGTTCTCCATGCTTCATAATAGCATTCTCCCAAAAAACTACCATTACTATTTGTTTGTTTGCTGAGAATATTCTTGAGTGTGTTCAACGCACTTTTGTTTCCACTCCCTCTCCCCAAAGCAGGAATTCCCTCATAATTACCAGGCAAACAGAATAGTCCTCATGTTCAAACGATGTACTACAGGCAACAATCCAAGGAAATATTAGCTCTCCCTAAGATGGTGATTTCAGGAAACTTCATTTTGCAAAGCTGCCAGTTTCACTACCTAAAAAAAGAAGGAAAAAAAAAAAAAAAAAGGCAAACAGACTTTCACTTTAGATTTGTTCAGTATTTTGCAGGCCCGGACAAAGCCCCTGATAAATCTTTAGCAGCCTCAACACTTTAAGCCAGGAGCCACGGCAAAGGCGTTCAGCCCCCCACCTTCAAACCTCAGGCTGAGATCTGTGACTCAATCTAGAATGTTAAAAATGGCAAGCTTCTCATTTTAATGAAGTTAAATCTCTCAGTTCTAAAATGAAAGGGGCTTTGCACACTAGAAATCATGAATGCATCATTGTTTATACCGCTGTACTCAGACTGTCCCTATTTGACAGCTCTGTTTGCATTTTGCAGCTATGCCAACCCAGCAAGCATATTTTTTTCCCCGTTTCTGTTTGTACTGCTTTGTGCGCTCCGGCTGGAGTCGGCTGCCTGTCTTTTTAAACAGAGGCAGCTAATGTAACCATATTAAAAGACATTGCTAAGGAACAGAACAGAATCATATTTTCACAATTGAACCACGGCAACTTTTCAGTCTGGTACGTATATATGTATATGGATGCTTATTTAGATATTTTAGATGAACATTTGTTCAAGGATATAATATTCAATGTTATTTTCTCCCCCCCCCCCCCCCCCCCCAGTCAAACAGCTCCTTTGCAGGAAGAAATAAATGACGTCTGGTCTGCTCCCCTTCACTAAGCTGGTTCACTGGCCCTATCTGGTCAGGAATTTCACGCTTCATTTTAACTCACAGTGTTTCTGTACCGCTTGCTACTGTGTTTTGAGAGCTGCACTCGAGTACAAAGCTTCCCGTGGCTCGACGTGCACACCGAAGTCCCATCATAAAGTTTGTTCCTCTATTTACTATACAGCAGAGTACAGTTTGATGGAATGTAACTTGCTTTCCACACTGCTGTGATAACAGGAGTAAGTCGCCACTGGAATTACGGAAAACTCCTCCAGGCCCGCCCCAGAGTTATTCCACCGGTGCAGTCACCCGCGCGGGAGAGACAAAACCTC